GGTCCCATAGGTTGAATATATTTAATATATATTAATGGACTCGTTATGCCCGCGTGACGAGTTCGACTAAAAAAATATTTTTTTGGAATTTTAAAAACATCAATTAATATATATATTATATATATATATATATATATAATATTATTTAATGGAAAGGGAACTCGTCACACTGGCGTAACGAGTTCCAATATGTATAAATTTGAATTTTTAGACCGTTGGAGAACGGTCAAGTTTTTTTAAATTCAATAGAACTCGTCACGCCAGTGTGACAAGTTCAAACGGTTATTTTCAATTTGAAAAAACTAGTCGTTTATAGCCATTGGATAGAGTAGTATAAATAGAGGTTTGGGTTGGATTGATTTTTCACTTGAAATCAAACATTCTATTGAGAGTAAAACTTTTTTTGTTGAAGATTTTGTGTTGAAATGACCTCAAGAGAATAAATGTTACGTCTTGATGATGTTCATATTTCGTCGACCGAGTTGATTATGATAAATTTAATTTGTTTTATTTGATTTTAGTTTTGACAAAATTAGTTATAATAATTATTTATATAATTGTATTAATTAATTTATTTTCAAATTGTAGCGAGAAGAACGAGGCATTCATCACGAGGAATGACGAATGAAGAGCCACATCAGCGGATTGTGATATATCTTTAATAATATGGATTATATGCAGTGACATTTCTTCGTGGCTTGAAGGTGGTGTCGGCACTGATATCGGCGTTAATTGAGCGTTGGAGGCCTGAAAAGTATACGTTTCATTTTCCTTCTGGTGAAGTGACGATAACATTGGAAGATGTCACGTATCAACTTGGCGTTTCGATTAATGGTATGTCATTGGTGCTTCGCAACAATTATGCGCGAGATGCAGTTATTTCTGATTTATTGGGAAAGGAGGCTCCAACCGATGTCATTGATGGGATGTGGTTACGGATAACGTGGCTGGAAAGAGAATTTAGAGTAGATGGATAATCAACGGAGCAAGAGATAAAATATGCAGCTCGAGCAAATCTTATGACGTTGATTGGAGGGATCTTGCTATTGGATAAATCAGGCAATTTGGTGCACACCAAATATCTTCCGGTATTGAATGATTTCCTTGTATGTCGTCAATATAGTTGGGGTTCTGCAATTTTGGTTTTTTTGTATAGTGAACTTTGCAAGGCGACCATAGTGGTTAGAGGAAAAAAAGGGTTGTTTAGTTTTGGTCCAATCATGGGTGTAGTATCATCTCCCGTTTTTTTACGCCTATTACATCCGCTCCTATAGAGTTTCCTCTCGCCGCAAGGTAAATTCCTATATTTAAAGTTTTGATGTTTTATAATATTTATTTAAATATTTTGAAAATGAAAATAAATTATGAAGTTTTTTTTGTTTAGATGGTGACATCGAATAACTGATACAAAGTTGTCAGGGTCAACCAAAGTAGATATCCGGATGAGGATCGATATCACCGGTAGATATGCGGTAAATATTAATAATTTTTTCATTAACATTGAAATTTGTAATATTAATTCTTTAATTATACTAACATAATACTTTTGATGGTTTAATTGGTTGTCGTACTGTGCGTCGGAGATCCAACGGTGTCTACCACCATTTTTCTTTGAAGGAGCGGAGACATGGTGTGACGTAACACCATTGCTCCATTTCGCAATTGTTGAGATCCATGACGCCAATAGAGTTTTGAGACAACTTGGGTTTCACCAACCGATGGAAATGTCCATATATAACATGGGCGATTTCCATAAAATAGATGCACGCGAGAAGCATATGGAAGATTAGCCGAAGAAGCATGCTATATTCATAAAACAATGGCATGAGAGGCATTTACATTTGCCTAATCGTTTCGAGGTTCAACCCGAAGATTTTGATTTCACAATTTCTCCCTATCTCCAAAATTATTAAGCAAATGGGAAATCATACTTGACAACGTCGGAGGATCGGTCCGAATGGGAGGAAATAAAGGCAAAATATGCAAACACAAAAATCATCATTTTCATCAACATCTTTATCTTATGCTTCCGCCGATTATTATCCATCTCAAACAAGTTATGGTGGATATGCTCCATATCTAGCATCGATGGAGAGTCTTCTGTGTGGGTAGGAAGTTCCTGGAATCAAGTTCCACCTTTACAACAATTTTTGGCACAAGAAATGGGAGCAAGTATGCATGGGATGATCTTCTTCAACACGATCAATCTCATGGTAATTCGGTGTGCAATTTGAATTAATGACGTCAATGATGGCGCCAAATACATTGAATACTCCATCATTTTCACCCGAAGGTGGAAATCAAAGTGGTGAAGTAATGTTTAGTACACTGGAACCAGAAGAAGACAAAAATGACGAAGGTGGACAACCATGAAGAAATCGACGAGCACCACGTCATTACTATTCTACCACTCCTCGACATCGGCAAGAATTGAACAAATATAAGTAATATTTTTGTTTACTTATGAAAAGTTACTTATGTTATAATTTATTTTTATTATCATATGTAAATAATTACTCGAGATCTACAAGAAATTGAGTGTACTATGTACTCGACATTTAATTGTATAAAAATTGTTATCAATAATATATATGTTTTCACCCTTAAAATGTTTCTACAATTTTTCATTAATTTTACTTTTAATTAAACTAACTTTGAAAAATCTATATCATTATCTCGTTAACAATTTAACTTTGAAAAGCAAAGGACGTGAATAGTATAGATTTTCTGATTTCAATGGAAATTATTTCAGTTTATCTAAGTTGATGTGAAATATCAATGACAAGAAAAGGACGTGAATAGTGTAGATTCCCTGATTCTCTAAAGTATTTCAATTTATCTGAGTTGATGTCAAATGTCAATGATAAGAAAATGACGTGCATAATGTAGATTCCCTTATTCTCTAAAATATTTCAGTTTATTTGAGTTGATGTGAAATGTCAATAACAATCAAATGACGTGAATAGTGTAGATTCTCTTATTTCAATGGAAATTATTTCGGTTTATCTGAGTTAATGTGAAATATCAATGACAAGAAAAGGACTTGAATAGTGTAGATTCTCTGATTCTCTAAAATATTTCAGTTTATCTGAGTTGATGTGAAATGTCAATGACAGGCAAAGTACGTGAATAGTATAGATTCTCTGATTCTCTAAAATATTTCAATTTATCTGAGTTGATGTGAAATGTTTATTCCAAGCACTAGTTCTAGTTCGACCATATGAGGGAGATAATTCTACAACATACACTGGTAATTTGAATAGAAGATGATCTGATTGTGGTCGATTTCAAGCTTTTAGATTCTCATGCGCTCACGCTGTTACTGCTTGTATGCACATTAATGTTGACCCATAGTTATATGTTGATGACTATTATAGCTTGCATACTATGCGTAACATTTACAATTTTGACTTCAAGTACCTCCCAAATGAAGCATACTGGCCTACATGCACAATTTCTGAAGAATTGTTGTCAAATCCTCAATTGCGTAGGAAGTTAAGGGGTCGACATGAATCTAGTCGAATTCATACCGATATGGATGATTCTCAAAGAGAGCCAGGTCTACCCAAACTTTGTGGTCACTGCAGAGGTGAAGGTCATAACATAAAGCATTGTCCTCACCTTCCAAAATATCGGGTTGGATGCTAAATTAGTCGTTAAAAAATATTATGTTATATTTTTACTTTTACTCTTTTAACTATGTTTTTCACTATGTTTTTAGTTTGTACTCTTAACTATGTTTTTTTTAACTTGTACTCTTTCCACTATGTTTCTAAATTTTTTTAGTTGAACATCATTACTTCAAACTTTCACTTCAATTCGTATATAATTGCAAACTATTACTAAATAACTTTACTTAATCCAATTATTACTTAATTAATAAAGATAACTTCATACATAAATTAAAACCATACAAATCAATATTTGTACATATGTCATTTTCTATTTTTTTAGATCTCTCTACAATTTGTTCACTACGTCGGATTAAGACACCTTTGTATTTTTCTTTCTTCGTCTTCTTCTCAATTTCTATACTAAAATTTTTTATTTTTTGTCCCTCTCAACGAGACGTTTGCTACGCCGCTTCAGTAAATCTTCATACTTCTTCTCCTCCTCTTCCATTTTCATATTCTTCTTAGGTTCCTCAACTATATAATTTATTGTTTCCTTTTCTCACTCTTCATTTGAAGAAGAGCTTGAATACGAATCGTCGATATTGAGTTGGTGTTGTCAAACCCATAAACACCGTTAGCCAAATCATTCCAAAATTTTTCTCACGACCACATTATTTGATATTCTCAATTTTTCTCACTTCTCAAACATCAAAACATTCACCCTAAACCCCTATTTATATTAAAATCATCTCTCAAAATAACAGTTGGAACTTGTCACACCGGCATGACGAGTTCCAGTGAAGCCTAAAAAAAATTTCTCGTTCAACAACGGTCGAGAAATTCAAATTTATACCAGTTTGAACTCGTCATGCCAGTGTGACAAGTTCCATTTTCATTAAAATAATATATATATATATTTTTAACAATGTTTTTTAAAATTTCAAAAAAATTATTTTTTATTAGGACTCGTACGCGTATGCGAGCATGACGAGTCCCATAATATATATTAAATATATTCAGCCTATGGGACTCACGTCCCATTAAAAATTATATCAAACGGAACTCGTCACGCTGGCATTAAGAGTTCTAACTCCACTATAGCATTTGTCGTAGATCCCAAAATAAATCCAAGTTACCCTATTGGGCTAAATAATTGGGCCGCTTACAATATTGCCCTAATTCTCCCGATAAAAAAGCCTTAACTGCTTAATAACGTGTGTTCCATGGTATTATCTGATTAGCATATATATTGTATTTGACTGTTTTTGCAAAAAAAATATAAAATTGATACTCAAATTTGAAACTAGGAGAACCAACCGACAGTATTATCTGATTAGCATATATATATATATATATATATATATATATATATATATATATATATGTAGAACCTGAAGCACCTTATAACATGCAAAATGCTGTAATACCTAATGGTATTACTTTGAATCAACTTGCCAAACATTCTGTGCTACGGAATTGGACACACCATCATCCTCTATAAGAATTAACAAGTCAGAAACAGATGATTTAAATACAAAAACCAGACTGCATGCCATGCATCAGCCTCCATATTCAAGCAGGTGGTGATTGCATTTGCTTCTCAGGCTCCCAAGTGGACAACTCCAGATTCCGAACGCAAGCCCCTGCCTTGAGCGACTCCAGTGTTCGCAGCACTTCTAACATCGATGGCCTTTTCTCCGGCATAACAGCCGTGCAGCACAAGGCGACGTCCAGAGCTCCTAGTGTTTCCTTTTGGGAACAACTTGATATTTTGGGATCAATTACTTGTAATGTTCCGTTGGTAATATTAACTTTTCTTCGAACCCACTTTACAATATCGAGAGAATCTGAGGATTCAACGTCGTCGGCTTGTCGGCCTGTTATGAGCTCTAGCAGCACCACACCGAAACCATAAACATCCATCTGTTCGCTTGCTTTCTTACTGTATTTACATTCTGCAATCAAACAACATATGTGGATCATGAAAGCCTCAGTTTGGTCTGATCTTCAACAGAAAATAAGATCAATGTTACCTGGTGCATTATAGCAGGAATGTGCAAATTCTGAAGCAATGGTTGACTGGAATGGAGCTTCTCCAACTATCCTATCGAGTGCGAAATCCGTAAGCTTCGGTTCATAATCCGCATCGAGAAGAATGTTTGTCGACTTGAGATTTCTATGAAGCATATGTGGAACATAAACCTTGTGAAGGTATGCCAATCCTTGGGCTACCCCGATCGCAATACTCAGTCTAGCACTCCATTGCAAGTGAAAATCCGGCCTGCGAATCAAGTCCCCTAAACTCCCCTTCTCTAAGAATTCATAAATAAGAAAGACAGATGCATCTGAATGGAAAACCCCCAGAATTTTAATAATATTCTTATGCCTCATCTTGGCTAATGTCTTGACTTCTACCTTCAGAGCTTTGGAAGGTTGGACCCCAAAATTCACCAGTTTCTTTATGGCAACTTGTTCACCACTAGGTAGACTTATTGTATAAACCCTACCAAAAGGACCACCATTTCCTAGAGCACTTTTCTCATCCATTCCCATCATCAAATCATGCTCGTTGAGCCTAAGAGGGTAGAAGAAAACCGACCTCCACACGCACGATTGCGACTTGGTCTTGGAATATCTATGAAACACAAACGCACCAGCAGCAACTATCATAGTTGCAATGGAAAATGCTATAGATATGAGGGCACATGTCAAAGTTGTGAGACCAGAAGAGTGGCGTTTCGGGTGTTCATCGGGGCAAGGATTTGGCAATCCGGGGCCGCAGAGTCCCGGATTTCCTTCCAAATATGAAGCTGGGAGGCCTGATATCAAAGATGATGGAACCCTGCCAGTGAGTTGGTTGAAGGATACATTGAAGAGAGCTAGCTTCAAGTTCTGGAGCCCTGGTGCAATGGAACCACTGAGATTGTTATGAGACAGATCAAGGTAAGTTAGAACTGGTAGCTCAGCAAGGGAAGGTGGGATTTCTCCAGTAAGACAGTTATCCGCAAAAGATAAGGAAACTAGTTTCCTACATTTCTTCAACTCTGGAATCAGGCCTGACAGGGTGTTATGAGAAAGATTTATTATGCTCATAACAGGTGAATCACAAAAGTTTGGAGGTATTTCACCTGAGAAACCATTGAGAGAAGCAGAGAATCTGTATAAGCTCTTTACAAGGCCAAGGCCCTGAGGTATTTTACCAGTAAAGCTGTTGTTGTCTATCTGAACTTGCTCCAACTGAGCAGCCATTGATATTGAATCTGTCAATTCCCCAGATAACCTATTGTTTTCAGCCCTCACCAGTATAAGTTTTGGTATGGACCATAATCCATTAGGGAAACCACCTGAAAATCCATTGTTTTGAACTTGAAAGATCTCGAGATTCAAACACTCAGAAATGGACATAGGTATTGAACCATTGAAAAAATTTGTGTGGAGACTGAGGAATTTAAGACGTTTTCCATCACAAATGCCACCAGGAAATGACCCCAATAGCTTGTTCTCCGAGATGTCAAAAGACACCAACTTCGTTAGAGAAGAGCCTAGTGTTTGTGGAAGCTTACCAGTCAGATTGTTCTGGGAAAGTTCCAGAGTGATCAAATTATATAAACCCACAAAAGATTCAGGGATTTCACCCACAAAACCAGATCTTTGTAAAAACAGCTGCTCAAGCTTGTCAAGCTTACCAATATCAGTAGGGATCTCACTCGCCAAGTAGGCATTTTGAGACAAATCAAGTAGGGCAAGCTCACTAAAATTGCCAAAAACCAAAGGAACACTACCTGAAAGCAAGTTGCTTCCCAAGTTGAGCACTTGAAGATGCACCAATGACCCAATACTCTCAGGAATCTTGCCTTCAATATGATTTTTGCTCAAGTCAAGAACTTTCAAGGCATCAAACTGAGAAATCTGATCTGGGATAGTACCCCGGATGAGATTGTTACTAAGATTCAAAGCCTCCAAGGAACTGCACTCAGACAGGTGTAGTGGAATAGGCTGATTAAACAGGTTATCAGCAAGGTTAAGATGAGACAAATAGGGTAGTTCACATATGGAAGATGGTATTTCACCAGAAAGATTAAAGCTTTGAAGGTCAATGGAAGACACATATAGAGAAGGAGTTGGAATGCAGGTAATACCAGTCCAGTTACAGTGATGAACACCCGAAGTATTTGACCAGCTGGACAGAGAGTGCTTAGGGTCATCAATGAAAGACTTGAAATTAAGAAGGACATCAGCATCTTCAGTTGAAGCTGAGGAGAACATGAAGATTGTGAAGCAGAGGGAGAGAAGAAAAGGGCATTTGCAGACTGTAGCCATTGGAGGGGGAGTGGAAGAGCTTTGGGTTGAGTTGTTTTCAGTGATTCCGATATAATCCGTGAAGTGAGAGATTGTAACTAAGCAAAACATTGTTGATAGGCTATTGGATATATCTATGATAAAGTTGAAAACAACTCTCCATCATAACTCATGGGAATTCCTACTATACTCTCTCTTTTGATGTAATGTAACTGAAGGGATCAATGGGACTTTCCTTGTGAAACTCTTCTCAATTTGTTTTGGGTAAATTACACAAGATATCACCAAACTTTATACATTATATCGTTTATACCACTAAACTTTCAATTTTACCAATTATAGCATTAAACTTTGATTTTGTTTTCAATTATACAACTGGACCGTTAAATCGTTAACATCCGAATTAAAATGGTGTCATTTTGGTGATGTATCTATGTTGAAAACCGTCAGCTCATCTATAGTCGCCAGTCACATCATCATGCTGTCAACGATTTAATAATTCAGTGGTATAATTAAAATAAAAATCAAAGTTTAATATTATAATTGATAAAATTGAAAGTTTTGTGGTATAAACTATATAATGCCTAAAATTCAGTGGTAGCTCATGTAGTTTAACTTTTTTGTTTAATGTTTCTGACAACGTGTTTATATATAAAATTAAATTTTGTAACATATTCACGAGAATGGGTTGATTGCTGGGGATTGATTAAGATGATATTATAAACTATTAAAAGAATTATTTTTAAATTAAATATCTGTGCATACGTACATATTAGTTAAATAAACCCAATAAACAAAAAGTTCTACTGCATAGGATATTGTGCTATGTGTTGACCTATTTGTCAATGTAGAGTAGAGTCAATTAGAAATGCTAGAACTGACAAATCGAGTGTATGATAAAAATTATTTTCATTTATATTGATTAAATATAATATAATTTCTAAAATTATTTTTATTAAACATAATATTCTTAGGGTAAAATACTTATTTTTTTAAAAAAAAAATATGCTCAACGTTATGTTTTGATTTTAGTTTAGTTACCCATTATTAAAAAATTAATCAAAATGTCTATGTGTTATCAGAAGATAATGTCACATATGTATTAGAAAATAATTAAAAAAATATCACGTCAGTATCATTATTAATTTTTTAATTGCAGGGGATCGAATTAAAATTAGAATATAACTTTAAATTTGATTTTTTTTTAAAAAAATACTTGATATAAAAGTAAGTACTCAGTTAATTTTATGTGCCTAAATAAAGTTACAGTTTTAAGTGTCTAACGTTAAATTTGGATGTTAAGTGACATGTGTCATGCTTATCAAATTTTATTTTAAAAAGATTAAAATTATTATTTTAAAAAATCAAATATTTTCTTAAATTATAAAAAAACTTAAAATCCCAAAAAAATCTTAATTTCAATCCTTATCACCGTCTACTGCCATCAATGTCGTCAATCGGTTGAAACTCCCATGGTGTGTGATTGTCTGAACCCCCACTGACCAAACCCTCGTGTTTTACGCGGTGATTGTAGTGAAAAATGGGTGATTGTAATATTTAAATGATTTCGACAACATGCGACGATTCCTCCCACCGTGCGTTGGACTTAGGTTAGATGAAGTATCTGACGGCAAAGAGCGGTGATCATGGCAACATTGTCAAAAGGCTGACATGAGTAAAGGGGTTCAGACTTAGAGTTTTTTGGCATTTTGGGTTATTTTGAAATTTAAAAAAAATGGGTTGATTTTAAAATAATTTTTAAGTTTAAGTTTTTTGTTTTAAAATAGAATTTTTAAAATTTTATAAGTTTAATACATATCACTTAACAACCGAATTTAACGATCGCTACAGTCTATGCATCTAAAAGTGTCACTTTGGAACTTTAGACACCAAAATTTCACTTAGGGTATAATTTGGGCGATATTCCCCAAAAATCACTTTTTCGTTATATATTTACCTTTCAGATATATTTCTCGATCTAACACCCTTTGCAGAAAGGCGCTGCTCATGTACCGTGCCTTACGCTAATGTGACGCCACGTGGAGTAAGGCGCAGCTCATGCATCACGCCTTACGCTGATGTGGCGCCATGTAGGGTAAGGCGAGGTTCATGGGTCGCGCCTTATGCCACGTAGGGTAAGACGTGGTGCATGGGTCGTGCCTTACTATCGTCTGACACACGCGCCAGATAGGCTCGGTGTATAGGTTGCGCCTTGTATAATTATATTCATATTTCTCGGCTTTTAAACTTTTCTCTCAGTTATAAATACACTCTCAACCCGTAAACATTCACAACAATCCTCTCAACCCGAAAAATCAAACAACAAACCTTTCAACCCGTAAATATCATCCGACAATCCTCTTATCTTTTATTCAAAAGTTCATTCGATCTTTCGTTGTAAGGTAATTTTTTTAATATATAATATTTTTTATAATTATATATGATTATTTGAAAAAAAATATTGTACTAATTATTTTTAATTAATTTTTGTGGTTGTAAAATTGGAAAGCGGGAGCATACGTCAAAATATTTTTGCCGATAGGTAATAATATAAAATTATATTATTTAAATTATTTACGTTTATGTGTAAAAAATTTGTTGTGTTATATTTTAATTCATATATTATTTATTTAATTAGGCTTGTTTTAGGTTTTTGTTTTTTGCAGATATAAAACTGTCTCCCTTTCAAACTCTAAGAATGACGCGAATTTCAGCTATTGTTTATTATGATGGAGAAATTCGGGAAGATGAAACCGGCGTTTTTGTATCAAATCATTATGTTAAAATATCCTTCAAGAGAAACATAACTCTTGAGGAGCTGATAACGAAGATTTCAAGAAAGGTTCATGTTGGAATTAATATAAGAATGTCGTCGCTTCAGTACAGATTTCCAACATCATTGTTTCTGTTAACTTATACAGCGTTCGAATTATCGAACAATGATGATGTTGAAATGATGGTTGATTCTCAAAATTATTATTCAGACGCCGATACAGATATATATGCAAAGTTTGTTGTAGTGCATGCTGTTCAGGGTCTATCATTAAGCTCCCACTATGGGTTTGCTGAACAAGCTGATCAAGTTGATAGCCTAACTACAGTAATGTGTAATGATTTTAATTCCATAATGGGAAATCCGTATCATGGTATCATCCCATCAACTTTAATGGGGAGACATTCATTAGCAACTCCTTAAAATCTGTACCGAGGTGGGTCCACGAATAATTCATATGGCAATATCGCGTCCAGTTCAAGGGGAAGGCATTCATCTTCAAATTGCTTTGACCTAAATATGGAGATGCCCTTGACGCAATAATTTGTGCAGTTTTCATTAGACACGATGGCTTCAAGCTCTAGGGGGAGGCATTCTACTGCGAGTGTTTTCGATCTCAATGTCGAGATGCCTTCTAGTTCAAGGGGAAGGCATGCAAGTAGTACGTTCTTCGACCTAAATATGGAGAGCATGGAGGAACCCTCATCTCCACCAAAAGAACCGCTTCGTGAGCCAGGTGTGGATGGTGTTGAGACTGGACTATTCATTCACCTAGAATCACCGCAGTTCAACTCCGATGATAATGATGATGTAGATGAAGTTCCCAAAAATGTGGCACAAACTGAACCTCCAGCACACATGTATGAAGCTGAATATGATGCAATGTATGGGCAAGAATTTACGGATATGCCTAATCTCGGTGACTATGGATTTAACTCATCAATAATTAATGGTGAGTTATATTTAGGCATGGAGTTTTCAAGCAAAGAAGAAGCGATGACGGATATAAAAAAATACAATATCCGTAATTCTGTTCAGTCTAGAGTCGATCGCTCTATGCCAAAAAAGTATGTCTGCCACTGTATCTGACGTGAAAATGGATGCAATTGGATGGTTCACGTACCAAAGAGGAAGAGGAAAAACAATAGATAGGAACTAACGATATACAATGGTCCTCACACATATTGTGTTGGAGGGATCAACCAAGATCATCCTAACTTGGACTCTAAAGTGATATGTCAAGCCATCATGCCCATGGTAAAAGCAAGCTCTCATATAGCAATTGTTGTGTTGATTTCAGTTATACAATTGTAATATTGGTATTCCGTCTCATACAAAAAAGTATGGAAGGCAAAACAGAATGCGATTAAAAAACTTCACGACGAATGGGATGCATCTTACAATGAACTTCCAAGTTGGTTTAGGGTGGTGCGGAGGTTGAATCTTGGGACAATTATGGAATTCGAAACTTGCCATGCATACCATAATGATCGAGTTCTTCGCGATCGATTCCAATTCTACCAGTTTTTTAGACTTACCCACAGTGCATTAATGTTGTGAAATACTGCAAGCTTATGGTCCAGATCGACGGGACTTTCTTATATGGAAAATACAAGCAAGTTTTACTATTGGCAGTTGTCCAATATGGTAATTTAACATTCTTCCAGTTGCTTTTACCCTTGTTGAAGGAAAAGATATAGATTCTTTGGCTTTTTTCACTGAAACTTACATTCACATTTTATCATGAGGGAAAAAATATGTGTCATTTCATATCGCAGAGCTGGGATCAAAGCAACAATGGAGTCTTTGGGTCCAATGTGGCAACCACCCTTTGTCCAACATAGGTACTGTATCTGACACATTGCTGTGAACTACCATGGAAGGTTCAAGAAGAATGATGAGCGTTAATTACTTGTGCGCATGGGTAAGTGAAACTGCTGTAGTTTTTTTCTTTTGATCATTTTCATTTTTTAAAGAAATAAAGTTAGTAAGTTCAACATTTTATGCTCAGGTTATGAACTACTGCCTCAAACATTTGAATTCATGCTTCAAGATTTGCGGGCGAAGAACAAGGAAGGATACGATTACATCAGCCACATCAATAAAGAAATGTGGACAAATAAATATGATGGTGAATATCGATATGGACACATGACGACCAACTTGGCTGAGGCAATCAATTTGACCTTAACGGGGGCACGTCACTTACCTGTAGCGACTTTGGTAAAAATGTCATTTTCATTTGGAGGCCCTTTTTGCAAAGCTCGGGGGACAAGCTCAAACATGGATGCAAGGCAGTCATGTTTATCACCCTAGATTAGTTACAGATCTACAAAAGAAATTGTTGCATCAAATGGAATGTCTGTAACAAGCTTATCTAGAACGCACAAATTATTTTGTGTCACAGAGATGTTGCGACCTCTTCAAGGGATTGAAGCTAACTTGTTAAGAGTAAATATATGGGACAAATGGTGCGACTGTGGGTTTTTTCAAGCTCTGAAGTATCTATGCTCTTATGTAATAGTAGGTTCCTTACATGTCCGTCAAGACTATAAATATTTTATGGATCCCGTATACCTACTATCAGAAGTGTTTAAGGTATACGAATTTGAGTTCCCCCATAGGTAATGACAAATACCCTAATGAGGTTCAGAATTGGGTTTCAATTATACCAGATTTGACTTTAT